GGCCTCGCTGCTCCGCCTCCAGGGGCCGTGAGACCTCGCTGCTCCACTGATCCCGGGGCCGTGTGGCCTTGCTGCTCTGCCGATCCAGGGACCGTGAGGCCTCGCTGCTCTGCCTGGCGCCAGGGTGTGAGGCCTCACTGCTCGCCCCGGGCCATCAGACTTCGCTCCGCCGCTTGGAACATAGTATGCAAATTAACCGCCATCTTTGTTGGCGGTTAATTTGCATATCGCGCTAATTAGCCAATGGGAGTAGCGAAGAAGGTTCGGTCAATTACCATGTTTGTCTATTATTAGGTAAGACTAGAGGCCCAATGCACGAAATTCATGCAAGAGTAGGCCTTCCTTCCCCCAGCTGCCGGCACCGGCTTCCCTCTGGCACCTGGGACCCGGGCTTCCCTCGTAGCCCTGGCTTCATCTAGAAGGATGTCCGGAAGGACGTCTGGTCTAATTAGCATATTACACTTTTATTATTATAGATAAAATAGGTTACAAACAAGAAATTTTCCCACAGTTGAAGTTTCTTGCATTTATACCCTTCTGCTATTGTTCTTTTCATCTTCAATACAGCTGTTCATTTATTTACCTAAAAAGCAATATTGAGGACAAATGTATTAAGGTACATTGCAAGCTAAAATGGATTCAATTTTCAGAACAGTAAATGGAGCACGGGCAACTCGTTTAGGACAGTGCTATTCAGAAGGCAGTTTGTATGCTGCTGCCAGTCTGTGAACTGTTTAGTAAGTCCATGATAAAATAAGGAACTTCACTAGAATGTAAATCAACTACATCACTAAGCCCATTGCATTATTTTTTTTTTAAAGAAAACTTGCTTAATGAAGGAAGCAGTGCAATAATTTACATTCTACTGCAAATGTTTTATCTCATTGCAGGCCAGCAAATTTCTCTGACCCTGATTGTATCATACCCTCTCTTTAAAGCTAGCAAGATAAAACAGCTGATGTCAATCATAAAGTGAGTTTGAAACTGCTCTTAGAGTTCTGTCTTCCATTAATTTTCTAAGAATAGAGCAGAATGAAAAAAAGTCAGAATATAAATGTAACAAATCTGATTTTGCAACTTAGCAAAAATATTCCATTACTTTAGTCACTTTAAGCATTTAGCATGAGAAAATTGTTTCATCTGAATTTCAAAGATTTCAACAACTTATCAATATTCCATTGACCTACTCTTTTCAAAGGCATAATATTTTCATAATATGTTTCTTATTAAAAGTCTTTAAAGAGAACAATTTTTAAAGTATTCCTAAAAATATTTATATAATCAATGAGGTTTATATTAGCTTTTGTTGTTTTTTTCTTTTAAGGTTTTATTTTATCAGGATACATACTTGGAATGTGAAAAAGTGGTCTGGAGTGAGCCTATGTCCATAAACCCATCAGATTTATGAATCTGTTCCTACTCAAGGAAAATCTTTGTAAGTGAAAATGTTGCCAAAGCAAAAGTTAAATATTTTTTCATTTTTAAATCATTTTTATTTTTCAATTACAGTTGGCATACATTTTATTAGTTGCAGGTGTATACCCAAGTGATTAGTCATTATGTAATTTACTAAGTGATCATCCCAATAAAACTGTAAGAAAAGGAATAGTCATGATTCTTTTCCTACATTTCTTCTCTTATCCTCCCCGAGTTAGTCCTTTCTTCAGTTACTGAGGACTGGACCTAATTTATTGAATCATCTTCCTGGGAGAAGCTTTCATACTGTCAAGAGATGTCACTAGACTATAACAAAATGCTTTCTTTTCAGTTTAAGAACCACAGTCAGTTTTAGGAAAGCTCTAAACTGAGTGGGGGAAAAAAACAACAAAAAACACCAACAACAAAAACAAACCACAGATATCAAAGGTCTTTACATTCTTGATATGTGAATTAAGATATTTTTAAAGTTCTACATTTAAAATGATGTTCAAGATGTTAGCTTCTGAAATATAGAACATTGTAAAAAAAATTAAAAACTGCTGACTAATAATATGCAAAAGACTAGGGCTTTGTAAAGCTAAAAACATTTAGGAATATTGATATGATGGTTTTGCTTTAAAATAATAATCCTTATTGCCTGGCAGGGTGGCTCAGCGGATGAGTGTAGAACATGAACCAAGAGGTCACCAGTTTGATATCTGGTCTGGGCACATGCCTAGGTTGCGGGCTCCATCCCCAGTAGGGGGTGTAAAGTTGGCAGCCGATTGATGTTTCTCTCTCATCAATGTTTCTATCTCTCTATCTCTCCCTTCCCCTCGCTCTAAAATCAATAAAAACATATTTAAAATAATAACCCTTACTATGTAAATGAGGAAAAACAGTGCCTCAGGAAAAGCTGATTTTTTTATGTCTTAAATCATAAAGAATATAAAATTGGCAATATATTGTTCAGGATAAATGTAAAGCAATTATAATTACGTATGTTATCTAATATGTCCTTTCGACTGAAATTCTATCAACTGCTGTTTCAAATAATAAGCATTCAAACAATAATCTTTTCTTTTTTCACCAGCACAACTTATATTCCATTGAATCAAAATGCTATTACTTTTTCAGTAAATATTCGAAGGCTTATAATTATCAATAACAACAAAATAAAATTAAAAGAAGTAATGCTTACTAAGTAACTAAATCTGAACCCATGCCAAGTAGTACCACTTAACTAGAATAAAATTTTCTACATGGAAAAAGTAAAAAAGAAAATACCTTTTCTTGTAGCAACTTTGAGGAAGCTGCATCACGATTTCCTTTTCCACCAGCAGTATTAAAATGAGACCATGGTAAAACTGAATTAAAAGTTAAAGAATCGTCCAAGGCAAAATCTGGTTTCATAAAAATCTATCAAAAAAATTCATTTCTCTCGATTAGAAAAACATTTTCTTTACATTCATTCTCTCTTCTAAAATCATAGAGCATTAAACAATAATTATTTTGGATCTCAAGCATAAACAGCAAAAACAAGTGATAACATGTTATTTACACAAAATCTGTAGAAAAATGTACAAATCTCATCTAGGTAAACATGCTCATGAAAGATAGAAAAATGTTTTTTTGCCTTAACCAATGGATGTGTGGAAGGCTGCCTGCCCTGTTTATCGGAATTCTGACTTAGGGGAGACTTAGGGGAGTATCGAAGATGGAGCCCCTAATTATTCCTTGACCTTTCCAAACAAGCCTGTGCATATGCAGACCCCCGGGTGTTTATTGGAATCCTTATGCTTAATCCCTGGATGCCCTTGCCTAGAATACAATGTAAACATGTTTCCTCCCAAGATTACTCACCCTACTGATTATATCTAAAGATAAAAATTCCAATAAAGGCCTAACGAGGCAGGCAATAGGGGCTGTCCTGGCCACTAGAGCCAGGGGCCCCTTAGCCCTCTCTTTCACAGTCAAGCTGTGTCTGAGTAATTTGTTCATCCTTCGTTCAGGGGGTTGCTGGTCAGCCCCGGCAAATGGAGATGATCATTCCATTACAACTTGATCAAATGCACTACTGTAGTCCCACTGGGCACACACCAAAGGGAGATAGTGTGTGTGTGTTTTTTAAATGCCAGATATCAATTTCTCTATACTTATATTTCTAATTTCTCCTGCTAAAATTTCTTTCAAAATTGTTTTTTAGACATATACTAAATTTTAAAATCATAACAAATTCAATTTTATGAAAAGCCAACTCCTTTTCTCTTATGTATCACATCCATCTGAGTACTAAGTAGTATTCATTATATTTCCTAAATATTGCTTGAATCCCTTCATTCCTCTATCTCCACAGCATTTCATCGGTGCAGCCCTTCATTATCTCTGGATTACAGTAAATGGACACTTAATGATATCCTTCCCTGATCTATCCACTATATTTCTGTTAGATAGCCCTTTAAATGCAAGATTATAACTGAATTAACTTCTCTGTTTGAATCTCTCAATAGAGTCCCATGACCCACAGACCAAGCTTTTTAGAATGGCATTGAGAGTCCTTCAACTTTTGGACCCACTTACCTCTTTTTATCTTGCCACTATTTACAAGTTGAATTTGAGCAGTATTCAAATATCTTCCATATCCTCTTATGCTTAAGTATCTTTATACATGTATTTTTGGCCTAGAATGCTCTTGCCTATCTTCCTAGAAAATTCAATCCAATCAAAGGGGCAAACATGTCCCTGTGTATGACACAGAGATTAATCACCCCATCTCTGAACACAAATATACTATGTACACTTATTTATCTCTACTTCACAAAAATTATTTACTTAATATGTATATATCCTCCTGGAATATGTTCCTCTAAGATTGGATTTATAATTATTATTCTTTGTATTCCCATAAGGCCTAAAACATGCTTTAATAAGTTTATTACTTCATTAATTTTATCCTATTTACTGATTCCTTTTATCTTTATGCAAAAAATTGTTATGAATGTGATAGGGAAAATCTAGGGACATGAGTATATTTTCTAGTCACTGCTTTAGTACTACTGAAAGCATTGATTCATTCAATAAGTATTTACTGGTTGTCTAACTCTTATGCTAGGCACTAAGAGAAAACAAAAATAAATTATTACAGAGGTACTAATCTCAATGATCTTTAGTCCAAGGGATATGATAGAATATATACTTAAGTATCATATAAGAGGAAGAATGACAAATGCCTTGAAAGGGAAGGCTGGGATCTAGATAAAATGCTATGGAAATTCAGCAAAGGGGCAAATTATCTTCAGTTGGGGAGAAATGTATTCATGTAAAGTTGCCAGTTAAGCACAAGAATGTAAAGGATTAGATATAGAGAGATGATGGAAAGTCTCTGTCTGGGTTCAGGAGCAGTTTAAGAATGGGGTCAACAAAAGAGTCTGACTGAAGTAAAAGATGTGTAAAGATTAGGAGGCAAAAGTTAAGAGTTGTAACTACGAATGGAAATGAATAATTAAGGACCTTAAATTACAGTTTGAATTTTATTTTATAGGAATCAAAGAATTTTAAAAATGACTGCCCTCTCCTTTTTGTTTCTACCCTTCATCTGTCTGTCTCTTCTCACCCTAAAGAGCAATTACCACAGACTCCTTTGAGAATCTGATGAATGTAATGGATTCTTTTTCCAGAAAAAAAACAAAAAACTCATCTATTACACATCTCTACAAATGTTTTCTTCTAAAGGAAATGTCTTTTAATAATTTGAAGGGAGAATAAGACCAACAAAATTCTTCTTTTAGAATGGAGACTTAAACATATTTGTAGGTTTTGATGATGAAGAGATTGATGATGAAAAAGAGAAGAAAGAGATATAACAAAGTTACAGAAGAGGCAAAGTGTCAGAAAACAGCTAAAGAAAGCTTCTTAAAGGCAAAATTAAAGATCAAATATTAAAAAGCAGTATTCTCATTTTTTAAGCTTTGTTACCTTAGGTACTTGCTCCAGATCTGTCCTGGATTTATCTATTAAAAAAAGGGGGAGGGGGAAGAGAGAACATGATTTTTTAAACTTGTTTTCATTTTACTTCCATAAAATATACTTTGACAAGATTCAATACTATACTAGGTCACAGCCAAATAACCACATAAGTTTCTTTGTTCAACAAGTATCTATTAAGCACCTCCTGTATCCCTAATAGTATACGAAGCACTGAATATGGCATATGTGCAAATAATTTTAATCAATTGTATACTAGCAATAAACAACTTAATAAATTTTAAGTAAGAATCATTAATCTACAATGAATTAGTCTATAATGATTAGCTACTCTTATCAAGTTTTGGTGAGATTAAGTTTGGCATGCTATGTAGTTTTAAGAATGAATTAAATTCTAAAATAGAAATACTGTTTTTTAATTGTTCAAAATATCCCCCATCCCTTCCAGAATTTCTTCTGATCAAAGATATTTTTAAATATATTAATTTTATTCTAATACATTTTAGTTTGTATCATCAACAAATTTATCTGTGCCCGTCTGGTGTGGCTGAGTAGTTGAGTGTTGATCCATGAACCAAGAGGTCCCTGGTTGGATTCCCAGTCAGAGCACATGCCTGGGTTGCAGGTGGCAGGCTTGATCCCCAGTGGGGGGCATGTAGAAGGCAGCCGATTGATGTGTCTCTCTCATTGATGTTTCTATCTCTCTCCTTTCTGCTCTCTTTAAAATTAATAAAATGAAATAAAAATTATCTGTAATTGAATCTACTTTACCTTCATCTCATCAATAAGACCTCAGGCAAGGTACCCTCCTTTCCAAAAGTAACCCATTCCCTCCTGCCTCTTCTGTGAGCTTACTTCAATTACCCTGCCTCTCTCTGTATCTTCATCCTCTTTCTCCTTCTAAGAGCATTTTCCTCTCTGCATATAAACATGTTTCATTAAAAAAAGAAAGAGAGAGAGGGGAGGAGAAGGGAGAGGAAAGAAGAAGGGAGAGAAGAGAAAGAAAAAGATAAAACAAAGAGCCCAGACTAGATTGAGGCAAGGGAACCTTGGGTGCAAAATTTTAAAAAGCACTCACTTTCAGGGTTATGCAAATGCCTCTCTTGCCTCATCTAGTCCTGGCCATGCAAAAACATTCTTCCACTCTATTCCCTCTGTAGTCAATATCCTTTATCTCAAATCTTCAAGTTACATCCACACTGGGAGTCTCCATTGCTTTCTCTTGTACTCACACTTTAATACATAGTGAGGTTTCTGTAACCACAGTTCCAGTTTAAATGCTCTCCCTAAAATCTCCTAAATTGCTTAATCCATGAAGACTTCTCCGTATGTAAACTGAAGTACTGTGACACTGTAGACTAATTATTCTCACTTCTTTGAAATTATCAAAGGTGGAACTCTCTCTTGGCTGACTCTCTTATCTCTCTACTTCTTTATAGTCTCCTTCACAAGTGCCTAATTTTCTATCTGCCCCTTAAATGTGACAGCTTCCTAGTGTTCTATTATCAGTTATTTTCTCCCCGCTATTCACATCCTTCCTGGGTGATCCCATCCATGCCCTTGGATTCAACTACCATGATACTGTCTAGCATATTGTCTATGATAATGTCTACTATACCTACATCTCCAGCCCAGATCTCTTTCCTGAGCTCCCAGCTACATACCAAACATGTTTGCAAAACTGCAATTAAACCAGCCTCTATATCCTCCAGAATTTCTCCTCTTATACTGGCTATCTCACTGAATTGCACCTCACCTAGCCAGCTGCCCAAGCAAGAAACTAGGGAGTCATCCTTGAATAAACTTGTTCCATTACCAACAACTAACTGACCACCAAAATCTATGCCTCAATCGCTCAAAGGCCTAATATCCTCTCCATCTTCATTATAACTGTGAATTGGGGCCACATGATTTCTCACTTGTATTATTGCAATAGCTTCCAACTGTCTCCTTGACTCCAGTTATATCATCCAAAAATTTATTATCCACAACTGTTTACACAGTGAAATGTATAACCATAAATCTGATTTTGTATGGTTAAAAGATTTTGTAGCTCTATACTGCTTTAAGAAATATTCCTTAGCATGGCATACAAGGCTCTTAATCTGACTCCCACCTATTTCTTCAGCTTCTTTTCTTCCTCCCAGTAGAGCCAACATACTGAACTCTTGCAGTCCCTTGGACATGCTAATTTATCTCTTGACTCTATGGCTTTATACAAACTATTCCTTCTTCCTGGAATGCCTTTCACACATAAATATTTCTCAATAGCTAGTTTAAAACACAGGCAATCATCATCAACTCTAGGAAATCTTCTAAGCTAAGTTAGGAGCTGTATACAACCTTGCCATGCTGAACTTATTACTTGATATACAGTGCTGCAATTTTTTGGTTTATTTATTTAACCTTACTCAGGAGACCATCAGCTACTTGAGGACAGGGACCATTTCTAATTCAACTATTTTTTAAGCAACAAGCAAAGTGCCAAGCACACAGATATTACTTAAGTATTTGTTGAATTGAAGACAACACTATCATCAGACCCAAGATTTTTCTCTTAAAACTTTTAGAAAAGATTATAACAGTAAGCTATAAAAATTTTACTAGAAAGAAAAATTGTAAGTATGACAGCCTACAAGGTCCCCAAGTTAAGATTTTTGTTCATTAATACTATTCTCTTCTACAAATTTCACATATTCATCTACATATTATCTACAAGTAGATATTCATACCATGAGTATGTAAGAGAGTCCTGTCAAAGGTATCTTTAGGAGGACAAATATTCTTGCATCTTGCGTGAATCTTCTCTCTCTAATAAAAGGACAATTAAATAAATAATGTAATCGATGCTGTGTGGCAATACAAATATTCAAAGCATCAAAATGTTTCACAACAGAATATATAAAATTAGTTCTATGATTTTTAAATCACTAGCGTCTGAACTTAAATACAAAGAGTAAGTATGCTTAATAAACTAAATATCACTGAGATGTATGAATACCTATTTACTTATACTCATCCCATTTCACATAACTAGTAAAATCTCCATAAATTTGGAATGAAGTGGGAAAGCAAATGAAAAATCCTTACTTATATGACAGAAATCAATTAAGAAAATAATTTTTAAAAGCAAGGAAGAAAATTTGAAAACTGATACACCTAAGATAGATAATTATTAATTGACACTTTCTCTCTGAGTAAAGAAAAATAATTCCATTCTAATTTCAGATTAGATAACCACTAACAACACTGTTATCTTTTCAGAGGTACCATAAATAGGACACATGGGAAGGGGAGTGTGGTAAGAAAAAACACTGAGCTAATAGTGTTCAGAATTCTGATTGTAGTTCTGACAGTATGGAACTGTCTTCCAAAGAGGCTGTGCATTTTGTATCCCTACCCACAATGAATGAGAATCCCGATTAGTCCATTTCTTAAACCTCACAAATTGTCTGGGCTTTACAGGTCTAATAAAACCATTTTTCCCTTGGTAGGTAGGGCAGGTTTTCAGGTTGAATCTTAGCATTAATAGGATTGTGTCATCCTGAAAAATCATTAGAGTAAGAAAAATATATTTACATAAATCTAAGCAAAGAATTAAATACAACCCAGTACAGAATGTATATGAACAAAAAAATTAACACAGATTCCTCAAAGACTACTGGTAAAAATCCATTATAAATTACTTTTGACCTGACTATAACTAACTTCAAGATTAGATGTTACCTGAGAGATTTCCTGTTGATATACTGTAAAATGTTCCTTGCTGATCTGTGGGAGGTAGAATGAAGGTATGACTTCAGTGTCCACAAAGTCCAATCCCCATGTTTTTGTGAAGAAGTCAGATTCTCTTTTTGCTAATCTAGGATCATTTAATGCTGCTGGGAGATTTACTTTGGAATGATATATAGTCCATTTGTGTTGATCTGTAACTAGAGATGGGGCAACACATAAACTGTGTGAATCACCTGCAAAAAGTAAACAAGAGAACTCTGTAAAATAAGTTCTATGTTTGAAAGTATACCCTAGAAAAATAAAAATGCTTAGATTCTACATTATACAAAGCAACTACTCTCTTCTATGGCAAATGTTTTAATAAAAATCAATCTGATGAAATAAACATGAGCTTTCAGCATCAATTGCTGAAGGAAGAAAAAAACCTGTATAAGCTCAAATATGCAAAATTTGAGAGCTGTAGTCACAGGGTGGGGTAAATGGTAAAGAAAGTCTTTCATTAATTCCTTTCCTTGCTGTACAATTTATCTTTTTTTCAACACAAAAACTCTTCTACCTTCAACTGAATATCTTCTATTCTTTAATATTCCAGTTTTTTCCCATAGGTAGAGCTTTTTTTCTATTGTACTATGGCAGACAGTACTAGTTCCTTTTTTTTTTTTTTTGCTTATAATTAGATAACATAAATACTGCTGAGGCATTAACCATAGAGGAAAGAAAAATATACAGTTGATTTTTGTTATTCACAGTAGTTCTGTCCTAGAAAGCCACTGAACACTTGATTAGCAAATACTGAAACAATGACCCTAGTGGAAATACAGGTTAGATTCCTGCAAGTCTTTGTGGTCACAACATTTTCATCAACTGATGAATACAGAATCATATGCATGTGTCTATTTAAAAACACATTATTTACTATATATTTAATATATAGTTTTATATACTTACTACATATTTAATATATAACATATATTGTTCGTTCATTAACATTGAACTACAACTCATACCTGAATGAAGCTTATATGACATGCATAGTTTCCTCATAAGGCACATTACAGCTTTCTTATACTTAGGAATACTAGAAAACACTTCAGCACTACGTTTGAGAATATTTTAAAAAGCAAAATCACCAATAAGATACACAAAAATGCAATAAAAAGTAGCACTAAATAGACTACAAAAAGACTTGTTTACACCATGAACAGCTGAAACAAGAAGGCAGAGTGTTGCCTTGTTCAACCTCAGGTGGGAACGTATACATTGGGTAATTTAAATTTTTCACTCCTCTGTGCATGTTTGCAAATGACCACAAAAGTGCCACAAATATTGATTTTGGGGTTACAAATAAGTTTTAAGGTATAGGCAAATTTGCAAATATGGAAACCACAAATAATGAGGATTGACTGTATTATGTTTAAAGAGCTTTTCGAACTATACATTTCAAAATATTTTTAATAGTTTATGTAAGTACTTCTTTTATGGAAATGCATGAAAAGAACTATATTCTAGTCTCCTAATTTACTTACTTCCGAATTATTTATCTCTCTTTAGTTTTAACATCATAAAATTTACTCTTTTAAGATAAGTATACGAAATCTGTCTACTCCTTTACAGTTAATATAAATCCTCAAAGGAAAAAAAAAGGTATTACCTGTGGGTTCCTTGGGACACACATCTGGCAGTGACTGCACAGGTCGAATGTGTTTTGTTGGATCTACCTCTTTTTTAACGAAAACATCACTGCTGCTTCCTTGAGGCACTGGTGAACTGTGGCTTGAAGCCATTGCATAAAATCACCACTCAACTGAAAATGAATAAGAAACAAATAATAATCAAGACACTTAACACAAATCAAAATTCATCTACAGGGTGGGGCAAAAGTAGGTTTATAGTTCTGAGTACACAAAATACAGTTAATAAAGTGACTGTAATAATCATAACCTGCATGTCTTTTTCCATACGAAAAACTGTAAATCTACTTTTGCTTCACCCTGTATAAGTATTATGCATGTCAAAAACTTTCTTTCAAAAACAGATACAATATTCAAAATCCCCAAGTACACAATTTGAATATTCTCTATTGTGAGTCACTTGATATATACTTAGTTTGCAAAGCAAGTTATTTGTCCTTGTTTAAAAAGTATTCTTCCCCAAAATTACCTATCCTTAGACTTTAATTCAAAGTGCAAACAGACATCAAAGCTGCAACCAGTATAAATTAAAAGAAAAATATTCCCTTCATTCAACAACTATATAATAATTATGCATTATAGCAAAATGGATAAATGCATGGGTTTCTGAAATGGTGACTGCTTCATGTACCAGTAGTATAACCTTAAGGAAATTTACTTAACCTTTGAAAGCTTTACCTTATCTGTAAAAATGGGGATGAAAAGAGGTCCCATCTCATAAACACTTTGTAACAAAGAAATGGATACATGTAAAATAAACCATTTATAATCATGTCTGACTCAAAGTCTGTGTTCATAAATGTTAGTATTATATTTATTATTACTATGTGGCTGTCACTATATTAAATGACTATAAAAGTATCATTCTTCAAGGTGATTGCAATTAAATTAAGTAAGCAAAACACTAAGCAAAAAACCAGTTAACCTATGTCCACATTTTTTAGTTAAATGCTGAATTTGTGGGCAACATAATATAGGCTACAGTGTCAGGTAAGACATTACAAATGAAGTAGTACATAACCTGGATAAACATGTGATATTCTATTATTAGAGAACTAGAGGCCCGGTGCACAAAAATGTGTGCACTTGGGGGGGGGCATCCCTCAGCCCGGCCTGTGCCCTCTCGAAGTCTGGGACCCCTCGGGGGATGACCACCTGCTGGCTTAGGCCTGCTCCCTGGGGTATCGGGCCTAAGCTGGCAGTCAGACATCCCTCTGGCAGCCCGGGAGCCCTCAGGGGATGTCCACTTACCAGCGGGGAGCAGGCCTAAGCTGCAGTTGGACATCCTTAGCGCTGCTGAGGAGGCGGGATGCTGGAGACCAAGATCAACAGTAATTGATATAAATGTGAGGAGTCTGGCAGAAGGCTGACCAGGACTCCTTTTGATATTAACAGGGTGAATATCTACATTTTATTACCTGCTGCTGACTCAATGGCCTAAAGCAAACTCCCCCAAAACCTGACAATCTTACTGTTTACTAAACATTACCATTGATATGTCTGTTTGCATTCCTAAAGGCAATGTTCATTCTAGCAAATAAAAGCAGCTGGGAACAAAGCAACAGAGAGAACCTGACTGCTATGGTTGAGTTTTCCTCTGGTTCCCCCAGTATTAAAAATAATATTTCTGCCCTGACCGGTTTGGCTCAGTGGATAGAGCGTCGGCCTGCGGACTCAAGGGTCCTAGGTTCGGTTCCGGTCAAGGGCATGTACCTTGTTTGCGGGCACATCCCCAGTAGGGAGTGTGCAGGAGGCAGCTGATCGATGTTTCTCTCTCATCAATGTTTCTAACTCTCTATCCCTCTCCCTTCCTGTCTGTAAAAAATCAATAAAATATATTTAAATAAATAAATAAATAAAATAAAAATAATATTTCTTCTTATGTGTCACTTGTGCGTCAGCTCTTCCTCCAAGCCTTTGAACCTGTGAAAGCCACTCTGGTCGTGGACTCTCACAGCGGGAGAGGCTCCCACCACCACCGCTGTACTGGCAGCCGTCAGCCTGGCTGGTGGCTGAGCAGACCTCCCCCTGTGGGAGCGCACTGACACCAGGGGGGCAGCTCCTACATTGAGCATCTGCCCCCTGGTGGTCAGTGTGTGTCATAGTGACCAGTCATTCCCAGTCGTTCTGCTGTTAGGGTCAATTTGCATGTTACCCTTTT